AGGAGAAATTACACGGGCTGAAAAAGGCGGAGCTCGCGCGTGGGCAGATAGTGCTGTTAGCGCCTTCCGAAAGTCCCGGCTTTCTCGTTTCTCTCGGACGAGGAGGAACGTCCGTTCCGCTCTTCCATCTTGCGCCAATTCGCAACACGTGCAGTGTGTAAACGTGTGTCGCCAGGGTCAACAGCTGACTCGGCCGTGGAAGAGAGAGAGGAAGAGTATTCGCACGCTTTTTTCCCGTGCAGCTGTGTTGATGTGTCGCGCGTTTCGAAACGACTTTCGGCTCGCCGGCAGAAAGCGCAGTTCCCCAGCGGCTCCGACGCCGAGCCGTCGCGACGACCTGTACGCGTCGTCGGGCGCGCGCGTACCCTGACATGATCTCCCCAGGAAGTCGCAGGGACAGCCGGCACTCCCGCGTGCTGATGCCGGTGCTCCTGAGTGCCTGCGCGATCCCGATCTCGATGCTCTTCTGGATCGTCAACGTGGCCTACTTGATACTCTGGCCGGACGCAACCGCCAACTCCACGGAAGGTCTCGTATATACATCGACGAACGTCCTCGTAAAACGCGTCTGCGAGCGATCACGCTTACGGGATTAGATCCGGAGAATACGCGTCTGCGTACGATACATATGTGCGTGTATTGGTACACGTGACCGCGAGCGATATCCATTATCGATCCTTTTACGCTTCGCGTAATATTAAGTATATCTCCATTTGCGACCGAGAGCGATTGTAAACACGGCCTTTAGGTTAGAAACAGGAACACCTGTCATGGGTGTGCCCGCCGGGGAGAAATTCTCGCGCGATATCGTAGAGCGTTTTTAGTAACTTTTTCTATTTTACATTTGCCAAGATTTCTATTGAAAAAAAGTACCTCGGGCTACCTCGCCGAGATTTTGTAATTGCGGAGTTGTAGAGGATTAAGATAGCAGGCTTTCTCTCGAGACATTTCTGAAAATTTATAATTTACATAAATTTACATAAATTTGCATAAATCTATAATTTTGTCGGACATTACGATCCTGTACCGAGCCACTTTCGTACCTACCCAAGGAGAACAAAAAGTCAGCGATGATGTCAACTTGACGTCATATTGATAAAATTTATGTCAAATTTTGGTCAATATGGCATCAAATTGACTAAAATTTGACGTAAATTTGGTCAATATGACATCATCCTGACTTTTTCTTCTCCTTGGGTGATTTTATCATACGAGCCATTGTTAATTATATTTTATAATTTACATCACGTACACCAATAGATAACAATTCACGAAGTCTAATTCAAAATGCAGCCACGGTCCCTGCGCGCATTGGGCTGCGTTCAGAATTAAACACCACCCGAGTGCTCCAGCGAATCGTTCTATCCTTGTTCAACACACGGTGAGAAACAAGGATAGAATGATACGCTGGGATACTCGGGTGGTGTTTCTGAACGTAGCCTTGGAGGAAATAGCGAATTCGGTAGCTTGCACTAGTGCTATAATTGGCTGCGACCACGACGCCTAGAGCTTGGTCCAAGCTCTAGTTCCGAAAAATGTGTAGTCAATCAACTTGCAGCTATTCCATAAAAGCCGGCGGTTCACGACTTTATGTAAAGAAACGACGAGAAATTAAAAATATCACCATGTAAAGCCGTCACCTAACCTAACCACAATTACTTAAATAAGGTGATATTTTTAATCTCTCTTTGTTTTTACATAAAGTCGTGAACCCCCGGATTTGTTTTTATGCGTACTTTAATCGTGCGCAAGAATTTGGCAATTTTATAAGGCCAATTTGAAATAACCCACGAATGAAAAATCGAAAATTCATATACCAATCTCTTTTTTATTAGACTTTTGAACCGAGTGTTTTAAGTACGAAAATGTTCTGCTATGTGGTCCGCAACTTATCCTAGCGTAAGAGCCAATAAGAATTGATTTACAAGCGTAAAAACTATATTCGAATGTGTCGGTAAAAAAAGATGACTTTAGGATCCTCATTAGACATTAAAACGTAAAACGTTCCTGAAAAAGAATGGCCGATGAACAATGACATGCGTATTTTTTTACGTCGTCATGTTCGTCAATGTCGAGCAGTTCGTTCCTTAACACATGCTCGACATTGCTCGTGCATAATTGTCGTAGTATCAATTCGAAATGTTTTACTCAAAGTACGCGCCCTCGCCCAGCTATACATTTTTCCCATCTTTTCGCTGCGTTGCGAATTGGTAAACTCTTATCTGTCGTGTATACGTAGCGTACGTTACTTATACGTATATGTGTATTTCCAGTTCTGAAAACCTATTATACGTCACGTACAATTATAGATTATTATCTAACTTGGACGAAACCGATTCAGAACACGGTGCATATCGAGATAATCGATATCGCGAAAAAGTACGCAACATTGAAGAATAAATTTCCAAGTTTCGTAACTCTGTCCCGATTTCAAGAGTGTTAATTATATAAAACGTACCTCTATATAGATGTGAATTGCGCTCTACGGATTTCTGCATAAATTTTCAGATAGTACGCGCGCAAATTTCTAAAATCACTCGGTAGTATTTATATAAAACCCGCTCAATCGGGTTTTCCCCTGCATGGTTTTTAGTTTCTCACGCGCAGATTCGAATGAGATGTAATTATTTAAATGAGATTACATTTTTAACTTCCGCTCGTGCGAATTTCGTTATTTCTTACTACTAATCTATCTGCGCCGTCATTGCAGGAAAGAGTTAAATGTGCAACAACGAAAGAAACTAAACAAAGAAAGCACGAAGAAAAAAATAAATGTGTCGTTAAATCAATAATTTAACATGTTTTCTTTTAAAGAGAAAAGAGTTGCGAATTAACGAGTTATTGTATAACATTATCTGTTTCTGAATCTCATCACAAATCAATCTGTAGATTAAATTAAATGCTTGAGAACTTTTTTTTATTACACCAAGATTGGCTTCGATACCTATTTTAGTTCATAATTATTTCACTTCTTCAAACGATTGACGTTGAAAACTAAGAGGAGAAGCTCTAGCGACGAAAATATTTATTGGGTGAAACGTAAAATCCGATTTATTTTGTAAAATTATAATTTTATCAAAATTACGTTAAATTTTCTCCGTGTAATTGAATCTAGCGACGATCCTCAATATTCAATTGAATTTATTTTTATTTTAGAGCACTCGGTGATCTCACCCTGGAGATGGCTGGCTTCAGTCGTAATTCCACTGATGTTCTTGTTGTGGGGTCTACGCAAGAAAAGTATAGACATCAGCGGTGCAATTCTGGGTAATAAAACGTTCATATAACTTGTTGCAATATAAGAAGAGCGTATCTTCAAACGCTGAATGATGCAAGGAATGGAAATACTTAGTTGTGTACGTGCTTGTGTGCTAAGTCAGAAAAATCCATATATTCATTGTAATTAGTTGAAATGAAGTTCATCGACGTAAATTGATTCTTCTCATCGAATTACATTCCACAAAATTGTAGACTTCCGATAGGATCTTGCAATGTCGCTGTTAATTAACTAATTAATTTTCGTAGGCTTCTTCATAGGCTTTATCCTGACGCTCTCGAGTTTTGTTCATCTGGCAGCTCTCATGGCCTTCTTCGTCACCGGATCGAAAGTAACAAAGTTCCGATCCGCACGAAAAAGGAAGTTCGAAGCCGATTTCAAGGAGGGTGGCCAACGAAATTGGATCCAGGTTCTGTGTAACGTTGGCATGGCTATGCAACTGGCTATATTATACCTATTGGACATCGGAAGCGGTGAACGGCCAATCGATTTCGATAAGGAATACCGAAGCTCGTGGTTATCTGTCGGATTAATAGGTAGCGGTCAATATCTCAAGATTTTTCTCTTTATAGAAATTAAAATGTTATTGCAAGCTGAATTTTTGACAATTTTGCATGTCATAGGAGTATTTGCGTGTTGTAACGGCGACACGTGGGCTTCAGAGATTGGCACGGTGATGGGTACGGGCGATCCTTTCCTTATCACGACGAAGAGAAAAGTTCCGAGAGGTAAGAATGATGGCCTTTTGAGATAAACAGATAATTTTTTAACTCGCTGAAAAAAGTCTTACGTGTACACGCACTAGCATAAATCTTGTCCCGAGGTAGAGGTGGTTGGGGCCCGAGTAGGAGTGCGATTCGGTGGTTGGGAGCGCGGATTAGGAACGATCGTTAAAGATCCCGATAACTTTTTGACCAGGCCACGTTTCTGGAATAACTGAAATAATTAATATTCGCATTATGTAACTAATATATGATATTGACAGTTTTTATGTCTGCAATAATGCGGAGCGGTGATTATTTGGAATAGACACGAAAGAATCGGCCCGTGAGTTATAAAAGGTTTATACTCGTTTCTACCAACGCAGTTTAACTTTAATCTCGGTTCAACTTGCCTTGTATCTTTCTCTAGTTTTATGAATTGGAAAAGGACAAGAAGTAATTTAAGCTGAGATTAAAGTTAATCTGCATTGGTAGAAACGGGCATTAGTGGCTCTGAAAAGAACCGATTTTTATGCCTGTTGCAAATAATCATCTCCCCGTATTACTGCAGACATAAAAACAAATTAGTAACGCATAATAGTGGCTTCATCGAACAGTGATTGGGCCGTGTATGTCTCACCTACGGGCAAGAGTGCGCGAGTGCCCTGATCGGGTCATACTCTAACTCGCCGGACAGCTAATGCGGGCGCGCGTACATATCTGATTTACAAAGAGATTGACTATGTATATTTTTTGACAATAAAACGTAAGCAAATCAAATAATTAAGTCTTTTACATTTTGTTGTTTAAGGAACGAATGGTGGTGTATCATGGATAGGTCTGTTATGTTCTACCGTGGGCGGTCTAGTAATTGGGCTGTTCTGTTATATTACAATATTAAATACCGTGGATACAGCTGTACTGCAATTAGCAGCACCACAGTGGCCCATCGTAGTCGTCGGGGCATTCGCAGGTCTTTTTGGCAGCATTCTAGATTCCATTCTCGGCGCGACTTTACAGTATTCAGGTAATGTGAACGTATCGATTTAACATATGTTCTTGTAGTCTTAGAAGTTTTTTAAATAGTATTTGGTATCAAATTAAACAAATGAATATTTTTATCATATGTAAAATAATGCATATTTTTTTAGGAGTGGACGAAAAAGGTATTATAGTGGAGCGACCAGGAAAAGGTATAAAATACATTTGTGGTAAACAGATCCTAGATAATCACAGTGTAAATCTTCTCTCTACTATCGGAGTCGCACTCATTCTTCCAAGAATAGCTAATATTTTTTGGCCATAAAAAGTCTTTCCACAACCTTTTTCAAAAACTGAATTTTCTAATATTGCATTTATTATTTTCATTTACAGTCAAACAAATCAAATTCTATATCGTGTATATTCCTCTGCGCTATTTTACATAGGAATAAAAATATTACATTATTTAGGAATCAAACAAAGGATCTTGCTTAAAATTATTTTTATCATTCTAATTTTATCATACTAATTTTTAATGTAATAAATATATTGTAAAGTAGCAATAATATTTAAATATTAATAATTTCGAGTGATGTATTATACTTTTTCACAAATTGTATCAGTGAGAAAGAGAGGGGACATGTGATATTTTGGCTGAAATTATGTTAAAAACGGATTCTTGCTCTAGCATAATGTTCGAAGTGTTTTAAATAGAAAGACTTATTTTAAGGGACCCTCTCTTCAGAGCAAAGTAATATAAACTTATAGAAAAATTTATATTATGCTTAGTTTATTTTTCTTAAATATATGACTTTGTCACATGTATCCTTTCTGTTCTAACGACTTGGTCGTTATGCAGTTCAGTTTTTAATTAAGTCATTATTTTTAAAAATAAATATTGATTATGTGCTTATCAATATTTATTACATCAATATATTCATCAATATCTACGTTATTTTATCGTGCGCTATCATTTAATGTAATTAAAATATGGATTGTATAAAAATATAAAACTCATTTTATATAATTTACATGCAATTGTTCATTATTATACGCTAAAGCTAAAAGTATGTCTCGCAAGGAAAATATTGGAGCAAATTGCTACTTATTTCTATTTATGTTTCTGCTATATTTCCTACATCTAATAATATGCATATTATTGCTTTGACGATAATGATGGTCTAATAAAAGCTTGAGTTTACATATTCAAATAAAGAATATTTGTACGTTTTAAAATACAAAGAATTGAACAAGCAATTGAACAATCTTTTTCGTTTTTCAATTTTTAATTAAAACAATTTTAACTGTGAATTAAAAGAAAAAGTTTGTATTCACGAAGAAAATTATATAAAGTATTTTTAACGCTCTAAGAAAATTTGTATTTAAATAAAAAATACCCCTAGAATTGACCAAAAATTAAATCATTTTAAAATAAAGCAGAATACTTTAAACTTAAAATTATATCTTCTAAGTTATTCATACTTTTAAAAATTAATAATTAAAATATTTTTATTGTTATTTCAAATGTAGTTTTAAAAAAAGGGATAGTCTCCAATATCTTTTATGTGTCTACATAATATTAAACAAAATAAACAAATTACATTATTAGAAAACGATAATACACATGTATCTATGTACAGTATCGCTCCTAATTGTTCGAACGACTTGAAGAGTTAAAAAAATAGGAGTTACGTCTGGAAAAAGTAATATTTATTAATAAAGACTTTTCAATAATCGTAAATATGCGGATCCTTCGCTTTAATTACTGCTTTACACATATTTTGCATTTGTTGAACTAATTTTATTCTTCTTTCTGCTGATATTTTATTCCATGTCTCTTGTGGTTTCTCTCACGTGTCCTTTTTATTTATAGGAAACAGGGGTTTTAATAAATAATACTATCATAATAACAACTTGAGGATAATTGTAGAGTTAGATGAGCATCATTTCAGTCATTTAGATTTAGTATACATATAATTCCAACCAATATACTATAAAAATAGTATATTAATCTGATACAGTGTAATCTGTGCCAACGACAAAATACAAAGCACCTGTCGTTCGGAAAATTATGAGCGGTACAGAATACATAAACTCAATATTTCTTTTCAATTAAATAATTTATTAAAAATAAAAAATTAAGCAATATAAAAGAAATAAATTCATTGTTTAATCTTACATTCCAATAAAATATATCAATTCGTCACAATTTTTAAACGCTGTAAATAAATATTACTAGAAGACGTGTATTCTTATCGCACATTTGCAATTAAATATAATTCCAAGTTTTGTCTTTATATAATCCAATACTACTTTTGATGCGATAAGAATACAGATGTATATTACAAAATTGCAGAATGATGTCATTACAAATCAAATTTTTGAATGATCTATAAACACACTTCCAATAATAAAGATACAGGATATCTCATATTTCATGATTTAGAATCAGATAAAGTGATTCTTTTTGCTTCAAATATCGGGTAAAAAATGTTAACTTGAGAACAAGATACCGTTGCGTGCGCGCGTGTTAACATTATATATAAAAATCGATATATTTTGCATGTAATGCAAAATGAAATCTCAAGCAAGAACAATGCGATATCCCGTATGCACGCGCGCGCGCGCATTTCTACCTCTATTTTTATATCATAGCATCAGCAATATAATAAGGTTTTATGTTACAATTATACGATTTAAGTGACAGTAGATTGTTAGATCATCCAACTGTTACTTATGCATTTTCTCATAATGTAATATTTACAAGATATAATTAAAATGTACCTATTGAAATCGAAAAATCACAGTAACATTTAAAACACTGTCATCGTGTTTCTCTCAAATCGGTATTGGATTCATTAAAAATTATAAAAGCAAATTAAAAAAATCTGATTCTAAAGACAGTTAACAATTGGGAAAGACAAGGAAACTAAGTTCTTTTACAGTTCACAATTCTAAAATTTCAAAAAACATACACAAGCCCAAAATTGATCTAAAAATAGAATTAATTATAAAATTTGTTGTTCATTGAAGCCACTTATAGCTAGATTAAAGGATCTAGGAGAATGCATTTTCTTCAAAAGAAGAAATTTACTATCAGCTTCTACAGCCGAGCTACTGATTTTTTATATATAAATTTTATTGTATATAGTATTATTTATGTTTTATTATATTTAACTGGAATGAAACTATAAGTTTTTCTGTACAATCGCATAATTACATGTAATTATATTTACATGCAATCATCTGTGGCTATAACAAAGCGAAAACCGTTTTTCTGACCTATTGAACACGATAGAAATATATATTACGCAAAAATGTGCAAAATCCATCGTCATAGTAACACGTTCCCTGCCGAACCAATTTTTAATAACTTTCCATTTAGATTGAGTAAATTGATGCATATTGTTGAGATCAATGGTGTTTTGCTTATAACATATTATAAAACATTTACAAGAAACATTACAAGTTCATTATTAAATGTAACAACGTCTCCACAATGTAATAACTGTAATAACTGTTCTTCGTTATACATAACGAAGAAAAGTGTAACAATGTTTCAACGATGTAACAACTGTATTGTACAACTGTATTATACAACTGTAACGTCAATATACGAAGAAAGATTTTATGTTATATGTAGTAAAATGTCATATGACTGGAACGAAAAGTTCAGCATGGAGATATATACATGCAACATGGCAGGGAATGTGTTGAGATTACAATGGTTGGATAACTAGCAGAAAAAAAACGATAACAAATGTATACTTTATTGGAATTGAATGATTAATGTTCGTAATATCCGTAAAATTACCACTACCGTTTGTAACGACCTTTTATTAACTGCAACGCCTTTGCCATAAGAGGTGCTTTTGTTTTCTTCATGCTACTTGATGCTAATAAGAACAACAATTGGTTAAAATAAACATATAACATATATTAAACTCCCATGATTATTATAATAAAATAAAATTTGTAAAATAAATACATACTTGATGGTTTAAATCGGGACATAGGCGGTGGTGGTACAGCAATATTCGTCGCATTGTTAGTTGCACCACCGCTAGTTAGTTTTTTCTTGACACTGGAGACAGTAGCGGGAGTGGCATTGGCTGTACCATACTTCGCTTGTTTCTTCAATACATTGCGCGGCGGTTTCACAATATTGTCCACATAAGCAAGTTTAGCGGATCTCACTGGGACGGATTTGTCTATAGATTGCTTGATATTGGCGGTGAGTGTTTTCAGTTTCGCTTCTCTTTCATCCAAGCAGCGCTATATGACATCATAATATAAGACGAGAGTTATCGTCATATAAATCTATCATATAAGTATAAAATTTCAAATACATCCTTGCACATTACTGTTTTAGCTTTATAATTCACCTACCATGTACATCTCTCGCCACGACTCCGTTTCCTGTCTCTCTTTATTCCTAAACTCTCGATTACAATGATATTGCCATAATATGTCAGTATCTTCTACGAGATATGGATTATGATGCTCCAGCATGAACAACTGATCAGACGAGGCACGTTCTAGGATCGGTTTTAATATGTCATATGGTACGCCTCCGGTAAACTCAAGTGCTGGAAATAAAATCACTCCTTGTTAGAACATTAGGACATTAATACATAATCTTACTACGAATAGAAAAAACTTCTCACCATCAATATTTTCTATCAATACCCTGATGCACATTTCATACAATGTCGGCACACTTGTATAACCAACCTTGTTACCAGAATATACTTTTGTTCTGGAATAAGAATAAATAATACATAAAGCAAACAGCAACACATATGTCGAACAAAGTATTATTCCATCATTTGTATTGCATAATTACCTTTGATTCTTGACGTAAATGATATCATCAACAAATTTTGTCTCTTCCTTACGTTGTGAAGGATTAATGTACGGCAGTGGTTTATAATTGGGACTAATTTCAGGTAATGTAGATGCCAAATCTACACTCAACGGTTCTAATTTTACGTTTGGTGCTAAAAGGGATAGTGGCTGCAAATTAAGTTTTCAATTATTTTAAAGTTGATTCTCTTTTGACATTACAGATATTAAATAATTAAATATAAAAGTTACATTTCCATTGTCGCTACATTCAGGCTCAGTTCTTACAGTTGGCATCTTTCTATTAGTAACGGGTGGTGACATCCGTTCCGTTTTAATTGATTTAATAGGTGTGTTGGACGTACTCGGACGTTTTTTCGATGGCTGGGGCAAGGAGCACATGCCAAGTGCTTCTGCAAAGCTTGCGCCTAGAAATAGAAATATGCCACAGTTGTATCTGATATCTATTTGATTTCAAAATTAAAAAAAATTTTAATTGCTCTAAAACTTAAAATGTTCTGTACGTTTTCGTTTCTTACATTTAACTGCTTAATAATGTTAATTTACTGAATGGTAATATTATTTATCTATAAATAGTATTGACACATTTGCTTCGGGTAATTTTGGCATCAAGTATGAAAGAACGATGTCATCACCTGAGGCAAGTAAAAAAAGGCTCTATTTACAGATAAATTAATTTTGCAAATAGAAATAAATATACAAAGAAACAATCTAAGAAATAAAAATCTCAAATAGTTTAATCCCATTTAATGTATTGTTTACAAAATTTATTTTTTATGCGAATTAATTTTGGAAATGTTTGAAACTTCTATTTTTACAAAAACTGCTCAAATTCTCGATGAGATAAAAATCTCCAAGTTAAATCTTTTGATACAACGTAACTTAAATAACGTAAATTAAATAAATATATAATATAAACTATTCTTTCAACACACCAGAATTGCAATCTATTCCTTCACCATCATTTATTTCCTGAATTAGCTTAATTCTTGTCTCTTTTTTCTTCTCGTGCTTACTCTTGTCGTCTTTGCGCTCCTTTCTCGTATCTTTGTCTTTGATCTTAATGTAATCTTTACTACTAGAGGAACTGACTTTCAATTTGGAAGTCTCTTTGCTAGAACGATGACTGGTATCTTTTTTCATATCGTATTTCTTATGACTAGTATGGTCTTCTTTTTTATGCTTTTTATCACTGCTGTCCTTTGCTTTACTGTCTGATTCTTGGGACTTGAGCTTACTGGAACTGCTCTTGGATTTCTCCTGCAAATACTTCGCTTGTTTAACGTCTTGTTTATCAGTTGTTAAAAACTGTTCGTCTTCTACTTTAATTTTCACTTCTATCTGAATTCCAGAAGATTTTAAGTGGGAACGACTGTGTTCCGAAATAGACGTTTGGTGAGATTTTTCATCATCTTTTTTACCATCCGTTTGCTTCCGCTTCTTGTATTCCTTCATTAGAGAACTAGAGTCGCCCACCTTTCTCTTCCTATTATTGTCCTCGTTAATCTGATCAGTTTTATCATTAACTTTCTTCGAACTGTCATTCTTGCCAAGCTTCGAGCTGTGAGCTTCTTTGTCCAGGCTACTACTTTTACTGCTCTTTGACTCTTTGGACTTTTTTTCGCTATGCAAATGATATTTGGAAGAATGCCTACTTTGCCCATGCAGCTCTTGCTTCTCCTCTAACTTCGACTTGGACAAATGAACTACACTATGTTTCGCAGACAGTTTGCTCTCGTTTTCCTTATGTCTATGTGTATATTTTGATTCTGACTGTTGATCAGACGAAGAGTCACTTTCCTCCATGTCCTCTGCTTTCGGGGACTTGTGGTCATCAATATTATCGTCAATCACACAAGCCTCATCCTCGTCTTCCTTGTCACTGGAATCCCCTCTGTCATCTGCCACCATGTTCTTCCATTTAAAGACCAGAGACTTGGCAGCATCGCCCACAGTGTCATTGTATTTTCTCAGACTGTTCACGGTCCTTCCCACTCCCGTTTGCTGAAGATGCTGCACTGTCACAGGTAGCTTATACAACTTCGAAATGTAATGCAATATCTGTGGAAACACAAATCACACCGAATTACAACAAATTTCTGTTCTCCCGAACGTCAACTGCAAGTGCACGGCGATATCTCGAAGTAATTCAATCTTTCTATGACAGGAATCTAAAAGAACGTCTAATTATAGTAAGATTTCAGGCAAGAGAAGAATGAAAACCTCATATCGCACATAACCAGTCTACACTCGAAGCTGTTTCCCGTAACGGAGAGGGGTTCGCAACAATTATTTTGGCAACTGTAATCACTCTTGATACCACGAGAACCATGTAACGATACAAGGCGCGTCACGTTTCATGCACGGTGCGCACGATGCATTGTGTATTTTTATTATTCGCCAAATGTTAAAGAAGGCTAAACGATGCACCATGCATATCGTGCATGAAACGGAACGAAGTCGTATATTTTTCTGGTACTATTGCATCACTAAATTTATATTTAATTGTCACGTTACAACCAGTGGAGATCGTCGAAAGAGATCTCTCGCCCGGGAGAAAAGTTGGAAGAAATTTTTCGTAACGACGTTTGCCAAGGTAGCCTCGACGCGTACAGCCGAGCTACGATTACAAAGCCTTTTGCGTACAGCTGTGTGGCTGGTTATTTACAGATTATTGAACCCGAGTCTCATTAACACCAGCGTGCACGTACCCGATCCTCGTCGTCGGCGCAGTTCTCCAAGTTGCGTTGGTAGTGGGAAATTTTATCGACAATAGACATAATGCGACGACCCGACTACCAGCTGCTCACCGCTGCTATCGTCCCGTGAAACGGCCCGACGAGCAAGACACAAGTGCGAACACGGACGACTCTGCGAGAACGAGGGAGGCACTAAACACATACGTGTGCTTTGGTTGCTGCACGCCATACGTAAAGACGGATTTGCATAATGCTATTCACGGAAAAATCGATCGATCATCCGATGCTAAAATGTGCGCCATGCGCCGCGCCTCTCGTACGCACGATTGGCTCGTCTCTTTATCAGTAAACCGATGATACTTGCGCAAATTGTCGAATGTACGTACCTTGAAATACGTCGCCTGTTATTTACGCGAAGAGGACGACGTGCCTTCTGGACAAGAATAGAGAATTTCTTGAATAGAGAGTCCCTCGGAAGTTGGAAACTTATTCAGCCTCGATCAGCCAATCGGCGGGATTGCGAATTTAGTCGCTCGCCAGTCGCCAATCACCGAGCTTTAGTGCCCATCTACAATAGAGATTTAAACCCTGAGTCTTAATTGTAAGTTAATTGGTAAGATCTAATAAAAAAATTCTAAGTCCCAGTCTACAATAGATGATTTAAGCCCTAAGCTTTAAGAAATTGGCCAATCACGGTCAAGTATGAGTAGAATGCGCGACTGTGATTAGTCAATTTCTTAAGGCTTAGGGCTTAAATCTCTATTGTAGACTGGGACTAATAAAAAAGAAATTGACTAATCACAGTCGCGTATTCTATTAATACTTGACCGTGACTGGCCAATTTCTTGAGGCCTGTGTCCACGATGCTAGAACTTGGTTCAAGTTCTAGTTTCGAGAAACGTATATAGCCAATCAACTTGCAGCTATTCCATAAAAGCTACAAGTTGATTGGCTGTATATTTTTCGGAACTAAAACTTGGACCAAGTTCTAGCATCGTGGATACAAGGCTTTAAAAAGCCTCGTCTACAAAGAAGATGTAAAGTCATATTTGTATGAATAGTCGACTATGATTGGTTAATTCTTATGTGTCTGACTGAATTGACCGCAATTAGGGTGCTTTCACATGGAGCGTAAGTTGCGTAGCGTAACCTGCGTATCGCCAATCACAGGACTAGTTCAACGGAATTATTGAAACGGTTCTATCAGCATGATCCTGTGATTGGTGATACGCAGGTTACGCTACGCAATTTACGCTCCATGTGAAAGCACCCTACAGTCGATTATTCTTACGACTGCGACTCTGCGACTCTCATTGTAGACGACGCTTTAAGCTTAAATCATCTATTGTAGACTGGGACTTACACCGCGTACTTGAACACGAGATCCTAGATGATGTTAGTTTGTATACGAGACACAAGAAACAACGGCCAATCATTTTCCGTTACAATCTTTTTGTTTCTGAAACAATCGAGGATGATGTGAATTGGCCATTACTGTTTCGTCCAGCTTCGTCGCGTTTTGTCATTGGTTCTCGACTTCCAAGGACTAAAGCGAAGAGTGCAGCACTATGCTCGGTGTTCACTGGGTCAAATTAACCGTTTTGATTTAGAAAATTTGTTTTTTCATTTCATTTTCTTTTCATTTTCATGTTTCTTAAAATACACATTTATGTTTCTGTATATGAGAAAATTTAATTTTGATTATCGATAAGAGTATCGATTGTCGATAATATCGGCATTCTGTGATTATCTCTGGATTAGCGAGGCCCCGTCGATAATCACAAGAATTTATCTAGAATCGATATATGATTTCTTTTCCGTGTGATCTACGGATGTTGTCAACAATCGATCACATTAACTATAAATGAATAACGATATTCTTCTCGAAGGAAACTACAGATTTTTAAATATTCTATTGAAATGAAAAAACATTTGTTACTGGCAGATAAATAAAATTCTTGCGAAAATATATTATACGTTCATCCTAACTGTTCATCAAATAAATATACAATAAGCGTGCATGTGAATTATGAATTTCATAATTTTAAACTTACTTCATATCTTTCTTTTTAAATTATGTTAAATGTAATATGAAATGTGTGCATTAAGAATCATAAAATAGAGAATAGTGTGTAAAGAATATTATTATACTGTGCCCCAATAATGATATTAGGATAATTTCTCTTTGCTACTTCTTACCCAGTAAACACCGATCATCAGTTGCATTGCATTTATCAATTACAATTTTTCGCTCAACAATGTACATGTAATATAACACATGTGTTATATATTGTTGCTCGGTGTTCATTGGGTACTGAATACAACTTCTCTAAATATCTAATTTTTAGATACGCCCGTCTAGTGAGAGGGAGGTCCAGATTCAAACCCTGACTGAGGTAAATTTTTCGCAATGAATTTAAAAATTAAAAACTAATAAAATTGGCATGGCTCAAATGTGTTAAACACAAATTGGAGGAATAAAGGACTACGAGCCGTGACAGGGTATTAGTGTCTAATACTTGAGGCGGACGTCTCGACCAATTCGAACCCCCAGAGGAAGGTCCAGGTTCAAACCCTGGCCGAGGTGATATTTTTTGCAATAAATTTAGAATAAAATATTTAGACACTAACACCCTGTCACGGCTCGTAGTCCGTTATTCCTCCAATTTGTGTTAAAAATTACAATTATTTAGACACGAACATCCGCCTTGGCTCTTATATCCTCTATTATTTCGTATCTGTGATTTCACTTCAGAGCCTTATCAATTTTATTTGTCTGATTTTTAATATTGCAGAAGTATCGATTACGATAGAACTCACGGATTTACAATTGACATAAGTAATTAACTACTATATTATATTAATGTAAATATTATAAAACCATAGTTTCATAAATTAATTTAGAGTTGATAAATACATTTAAGACACACCTTTTTAATAAATTCTGCTGCTATGGTATTTATCTGTATAATTATACATTGGTATGTTTTTAATTATTTAGCAATCATCGGCGCAATAATTTTTTAAATCCGTTTATGTAGCAGACTGTTAACAAAAAATTTTATTTGCGATTTTATTATAACTTCTCCAATAACATAGACCGATACGGCTTGTTTACACGGGATCGGTCGATACATAATAAAATAGTTTATATTTGGCATTTGATGCTTATGTTAAGTAGATTTATGAACCATTTGATGCGCAATGCCATCATCATTAATTTAAATTTCAAGGGGATATCAACTTCTTGTTGATCTACGTCGAGGAAAAAGATCCTATGCGTTCCTTGAAATCGTTCAAATAGTATTTTCAAGATTTTAAATTGCTAATTTCTTGTTGGTGATGTGACAGAGTATAATTCATTGTTACGATCGAGTATTAGCTCTCTGTAGTGATAATCTGCTCGACGTTCGCGAATGATTTGATAAATTTGCTTTCGATCCCGGTCGTACACTAAGGAAAATGGCGTTGAATGAAATAAATATAAATATCAATATGCGGCGATCACAGACTGTCAAACAAATATTTGTTTATTTACAAAAATATTCCGCAATTCAAGAAAATATACATTTCGATAAATGATGTATGCTTAACTTAAAAACATACATATTTGAACTGAAATATTGCCAAGTAAACATATTTAGTCATATCGACAAATTTTTTCTCAATGTAGCTGTTGAGTCAAATTAAATTCTTCTGCCCTTAAG